GTAAGTAGTTCCTCGATGATCTTTTGAAGGTATGAGTCTGCTTGATTTTCTCAAGTGATTTCAGCGAGATCGAGCAGCTCCGGGCGAGAGAGAGACAACATCTAGATCCATACCTATTCGGGGGTGCAAGACAAGGCATCCACCTCTTGGTTCTCGTGGCCTGATTTAAAACATATCTTAAAGTCAAATGAGATAATCTTTGTCAACCACCTCTAATAATCAAGGAGAACTTGTCGCTACTCTAGAAGGAATTTCAGACTCTTATTTGTAAAAATTCAAAACTTGCAACTAAGAAGGTAATGCCACTACTTGAGAATGGCAAGAACTATGGCTATCAACTCACGCTCGTAAGTTAGTTTCTGTAGATGGATCAGTGCAAGAGCTTTTGCTGAAGAAAGCCATGAGTCTCTAGTGTTGCATGAAGACAACTCGTGACCAAAGATATTTGCCTTGAGCTCAAATGTGACGGAGAAATTTGGTAAGATCAGCACTAGACCTATTGTCAAGGTTTGTTTGAGCTGCTGAAAAGCTTCTTTGGCCATTGGGTTCTAGCCAGAAGCCTCCTTCAATTGTTGTGTCAAGGGCCAAGCAATCTATCCGAAGCCATGGACGAAGTGGCGGTAATATCCTGCAAAGCCCATGAGACCTCGAAGATCTTGGAGGGTCATGGGGGATGGCCACCAGTAGACAACAATGATCTTTTGGGGGTCTACAACAACTCCTTCTAGTGATATCTCGTGGCCCATGTACACGATCCTTGTCTAGTTGAATAAACACTTCTTTGGGTGAATGTGAAATTGGTGTTCGTGGAGAACGAGAAATACCTAGACAAGATGGCACTCGTGCTATGCTGGTTCAGCTATAGATGAGGATGTCATCAAAGAATACCTGCATGAATTGTTACAACAATCAAGCGAATATGCGATTCATGGTGGCTTGGAAAGTTGTCGAGGCATTGGATAATCTAAAAGGCATGACCAAGAATTTGTAATACTTGTGATGTGTTCAAAAGGCTGTCTTTGGCACATCTTCCATTTGGATGCAGATCTGGTGGTAGCCGGATTGCAGGTCGAGCTTCTAGAAGATAGTGGCTCCATGCAGCTCGTCAATGAGCTCGTCTACGATCGAGATGAGAAATCAATCTGGAATGGTTACCTTATTTACCACATGATAATCTATGTAGAAGTGCTACGAGCCATCATTTTTGTAGATGAGGAGTGTCAAGTTAGAGAAAGGGTTGTGAGAATGTTGGATGAGCCGAATTGTTATCATGGTCGCCACCTGTTTTTCCAGTTTTGTTTTTTGAAAGTGAGGATAGCAGAAGGGATGGGTATAAATTTTATGGCTGCCGAGCTCTATGATGATGCGATGCTCTTGCTTGGAGGACATGGGAAGGCCAATGATGTCCATGAAGACTTGTAGAAAATGCTCCCGAAGTTCCCTTGTTAAGGGGTCATTTGACACCATGTCATTGTTAGGCACCAGCTAGAACAGCTTGAAGTATGCTTTCTCCTTGTATGGCCTATTGATCAAGATATCTAGTTGGTGTCATTTTTTCTAGTTGAGGTTCCGCTGCAATCGTCACCTTTTCCTTACTGATGGGAAATGACAATGTCCAATCATCCAAATTGAGCTCCAGGTTGTGCCTATCTTCATCCCCAAGATGATGTCAACTGAGCCAAGGGAGAAGAAGAGGAAGTCGTTCAAAATGATGGTATTCAAAAGATCGATCACAAGGCCATGACGCATTTTTGAGCCAAGGATTGTCTCCCTCATGCTAGTGGCTACCCGATAGGGTGACATCATGGCAGTTAGAAGCTACTACTCCTAGACCAGACAACTGCTAACGAAGTTAAACATTGCTCATGTATCAAGTAGAGTGAAAACTTGTGACCTTTGAATCGTTCCCTTGAAGCATATAGTTCACCCATGGAAGTGACCAAACAACAAGTGGAAGGATACTTCGAGCTAGACGATCTTGCCTTCATTTGGTGATGGGTCATTGACGTGACTTATTCGTTGTATAGTAAATCACGCAAATTTAAAATTTATAAAATTAGAAAATATGAATTTTCAAATATTTAGAAGTATTTTTGAACAAATATATCAATTATAATTCAATAAAACTTCCAAAAATAGCGGTAATTTTCCAAGTCGATCATGGGGATGTAATATAATATTAGATAATTATTCAGAATTTTCCTCAAAGAATACTATTTTCTATGAATTTTACACTAGGAAATAAAAATAAAATATATTTAAAATTCATAAAAAAAGGAAATAAGGGTGCGGACGTCAAGATGACATCAGTGCCTGGTGAACACGAATCGGGCGAAAATAGAGTTCCACCTGATGATTCTTACATAAGCGATTACATATGATTTAATTGATCAAATTAAGATTTGTAAAAGCCAGAAGAATCGTAATTGAATGATGTATATCTTAGTGAATTTAAATCACATAAATTATCACTAAATAAAGTAGAAAGTAAGTTGAAAGCATGAAAATAGAGTTCCGGCATCGCGGCAGTGATGCGTCGGCGATGCACCGAAATCCTGAACGTTTGGGAGGATCGTCATACAGTGTCCATGGCCTCGAAGGCTCTCCTTGGACAAGGACGACGTGGGTAATCTCTAGATCTCCTTGTGAAGTCTAGAGATCATTGAAATGGGTCATCGAATCGTCTCCGGCAATTGTCACCCGGCGGAGCGGAAAAACGGCGACTTTGCGGCTCTTTGACGGCTGCCACCTGACGGAGAGGAACTGGATGGAGGTAGAGTGCATGTCAGGGAGCTTCATCTTCAGGTCTGCGTAGCAAGAGGAGGCTCTTCATCACATCTGATATACTCTTAGGAGGTGGCGACTCGTCTCCTGGCGGATCGTCCTCTTCCCAACGATGGCTTATTCATCGATCAATCAAAGATGTTTTACTCGATAGATTCACGATCCTTTTATCACGAATCATTCAATAATTTTAGTAACAATGCTCCGCGAATCACGTTGACGAGATTTTTGCCAATGATCCAGCGATTCTGGTGGCTTAATCCTTCACCGGCGATTTGCAAGAAAGTCGCAATAATCAGATAAAAAATATGAGTTTTGGCTCTGAGAGGATTCGAACCCACGCTAGTCGCTCGCCCTTTCTAGGGAAGGTGTGATGTGAGTTTAGTCCCACATCGCTTGTGTGCCAAAGTTTCTAGCAAATATGTAGTAATATTACATTTGCAATCAAGTCACTTTCTCGCACGTGTATGACCACTTCTTGCCCCACAACCGGCTAGCCACTAGTGACATGGAAGGGGAGTTGCGCACATGTGCCCCTATCAATCCTAGCCGCTCGAGCCTCTGCTCGCAGCTCCTCCCCGACTACACTTCTGACCTGCTTGCTGGCCTAGCTGGCCAGTGGGTCCCCCCCATTTTACTATATTTTTATTTTTATTTCTTTTTCTTCATTTATCTCAAAAGTAAGATTGTAAAAATCATATAAATTCGTATAAAATCACATAATTACCCAAAAATTTACGTTAATTAATTGAAAACCACTTTTCATACTTTAACACAAATATAAGTATTTATCATGAGTTAAGACTAAAATTATATTATTTACTAATTATTAACTCATGATAATAAAGACTTATCAGTCATAGAGAAGCTCCTTTACTTGAGTATCGTCTAATGCAAAATCATAGTCAACGAGAGCGAAGAGAATATTCAACTTTTATTTGTACTGATGATCGAGTATGTATTTTTCATCGCAATAGAAATATAAGTGGCGTGACTTAGTCATTGTATAATAAATCACGTAAATTTAAAAATTTAAAAACTAGAAAATAATAATTTTTAAATATTTAGAAGTAGTTTTGAACAAATATATCAATTGTAATTGAATAAAAGTTTTAAAAATAGTGATAATTTTTTAAGTCGATCACATAGATGTAATATAATATCGAGTAATATTTCAAAATTTTCTACAAAAAATATGATTTTTTATGAATTTTAAATTAAGAAAAAAAAGAAAAATTATTTAAAATTTATAAAAAAGGAAAATAAGGGTGCATATGTCATGATGATGTCAGCGCATGATGAACACGAATCAGATGAAAATAGAGTTTCACCCAAAAATTCTTACATAAGTGATTACGACGATTTTATTAGTCAAATTAAGATTTATAAAAGCCAAAAGAATTGTAATTAAATGAAGAATAGTTTAGAAACTTGAAATCACACAAAATATCACTAAATGACGTGAAAATTAAGTTGAAATAGAAAAGATAGAGTTCTAGCCTCGTGATAATGATTGTTGAAATTTTGTGTATTCAAGAAGATTATTGAATGATGTCCACGACATCAAACGCTCTCCTTAGACATGAATGACATTGGCATTCGCTAGATTAGTTAAAAAATAGTAAAATTGAGTTTTGACGTCACGACGGCGATGCATTGGTGATGTGTCAAAATCATGTGCATTCGAAAAGATTATCGTGTAATCTCTATGGCCTCAAAGGCTCTCCTTAAATAAGGACAACATAAGTAATTTTTAAATCTTCTTGTAAAGTTTAGAAATCAATGAAGTAGGTCATTGAATTATCTCCGACAACTGTCACTTAGCGGAGTAAAGAAATGACAACTTTACAGATCTCCGGCGACTGTCACCCAATGAAAATAAGTTAGATGGAGGTAGTGAATGTCTTAGAGAGCTTCATCCTCAAGTCCACATAGCAAGATGAGGCTGTTCATCGCATATAGTACACTCTCAAGAGGTGGTGACTCGTCTCCTAACATATCGTTATCTTCCTTACGACAACTTATTCATTGATCAATAAGAGATGATTTACTCAATGGATTCACAATCCTTTTATCGTGAATCGTTTATTAATTTTAGTAACGATACTCTGCGAATTACGTTGACAAATTTTTTGTCAATAATTGAGCGATTTTGACAAATTAATTCTTCACCGGTGATCGATAAAAAAATTAAACAGTCCATACATGACCCAAATATGATTGCATGTGCCTTTTGTTCTAGCTATGAACATGTAGAAATAGAGTGTCCTAGATACGAAGGATTGATGGCAATGAATGATAGAGTTAGGCCCGCTCAACTTATTGTTGGAAACTTATGGTCAAAAAGGACACCTCAACCTCCTACATACACAGCATATTGTGACAATTACAATAACCAAAATTATAAAAGAGGAAATGGTAACACCTATCAACCATCATTTCCCCCTCAAACAGCAAGCTCCCTTCCAGCCATCTCATGCCCACAGAATTTTCAGTCCACTCAAACAACCCATCCTGCTCAAAATGAAGCCACCTTAGCTACTAATGAATTGTTGAAACAGATGTTGCAGGAGCAAAGGGAGCAAATGCAAGAGTTGAGGACAGAAATGGAAAGAATGAAGATGATGATGTTAGGGCAGTCACAACAAAGCTACACCACACTCGATAGACAAAAAGGTAAAATGGTTGAAGTAGGGTCAAGTGATTGTGAAGTAGGTCAATTTCCTACTCAACCTATTGTAAATCCTCGAAATTTATATTTTTCTACAAAAAAACATTATAGTCATGAAGTAAATAGTAAAGAACTAGAGTTAGAAACACTGCACGCTATTTCAAGACAGGAATGGAAAGAAGTTGCATGATCCATATGAATTGAGTGAAGAAATAGAAGTTGAAATCGAATTGAACAAAATATCCGGCATAGATAAAACTCAAGAAAAAGTAAACCGCTTGTTCTCGAGGGCTAGCAAAAGATGAACCTAATCTCAAGGGATATAAACTGCTTGTTCCTTTTCTTGATGCTATGAAAATATCAAAAACAAAACTCAACCAATCTGATGATCATTTGCTAGAATTGTTCAAACAAGTTAAAATAAATATTCCATTAGTTGATGCTATATAACACATACCATCTTATGCTAAATTTTTGAAAGAATTATGTACACCTAGTAGAAAACAAAAATGCATCCAATTATCTGAAAATATTAGTTCCATATTAAATACGAAATAGGAAGTATGATTTCACCTGTTCATTGCTTGATTCAAGTGTAACTATCAATATTCTTCCCAAAATTATATATGATAAATTCAAAATGGGAGAGTTACAACCCATTTTTTTAGAACTGCAGCTAACTGATGGGTCGATTAGACAGTCATATGGATTGTTTAGAAGATGTCATCGTTAAAATTGAAAACTGTTATTTTCCATTAGATTTTATTATTGCTGATATGAAGATGACTGAAAATATCAATCATGCTCCTATAATCCTTGGTAGACCCTTCTTAACAACAACTAAAGCCACAACAAATTAGGGAAAGGAGACAATATTTTGCAGTCCACTTCTAATACTTGCGGTCCACTTCTCATGGTCTCTTCACTAGTTAGATGTGAACAATATTTTTTTTCATACCAATCTTGAAGAAGTCTATATGGAGCAACCTCTTGATTTTGTTTCGACTAACTCACTAGATTCTATGTACTATTTGTCAAAATCTATCTATAGGCTGAAACAATTTCCTTGAACTTAGTTTAGTTATTTCTGTATGCTACTTCAAGATTTTGATCTTCATCAGTGTACCTCTGATCCTATCATATTATATCGTCACACTTCTACGGACTATATTATTCTATTTGTCTATGTTGATGACATTATTTTGATGAGTGATGATAGACAACATATCTCCAATTTCAAGGTCCTTCTTCAAAGTAAAGTGGCGATCAAAGATTTGGGTCAACTTCAATATTTTTTGAACATTGAGGTTGCCCACTCTTCTAATGGCCTGGTTATCAACCAGTAGAAGTATGTGCTTGATCTATTGTAAGATGTAGGGATGTTGGGCGTCAAATCTGCTCCTACACTAATAGATCCAAAGGTCAAGTCACTTCTGAATTCCAATGATGCTTTTGAAGATCCGGAACAATTCCGTCACTTGGTAGGGTAATTAAATTACTTGACCTTGACTTGTCTTAGCATTTCTTTTGCTACGTGTGGTCAACTAGTTTATAATCAATTCATACACTACTACTCGATGATATTTTGATATCTGAAAAGGCATTCTGGCCAAGAACTTCTGTACAAGTCTTGTTCTTACATTGATATTCATGGTTATTATGTTTCAAATTAGGCAAGTTCTCCAATCAATCGACGCTCCATCACAAGATATTGCATCTTTCTAGGGGCAAAATCTTATCTCATAGAAGAGTAAAAAGCAACAAGTGGTTGCATTGTGCAATGTTGAATCAGAATATCAAGTTATGTGGAGCGTTGATAACATGATAAATATAGTGACAATATCTATGATTTCATATGGTTTTAAGCTCAAATTCTCCAAGATCATGTTAGTAACATTAAAACTACGAATATGAGTAATGACTCCTTATTTATAAGTTCTCATAAAAAATCAGTTGATATATAAATATATATATATATATATATATATATTTCACGATCACTCTAGATAATTTATGTCATTTTGTGAGTATTAACCTTAAAATATCATGTTATATTTTCATGCACATGTGAACACTCTTGATTTATTTTTTATGATTAATCTAACTTGATTTCTTGGAAGTCAAGTTGTTTTATTATTGATAAATATTCTTAGTATGTGTTGTATAGGATTTAGGTGAATTTAATTAAGTAATTAATTAAAGGGCTTGAAGGTTATTGGCTAAAAGTAAGAGATCATGCAGAGTGCTAAAGATAGTTGGCTAGAAGAAGAGATGATGTAGAGTGCTTTTGGGCCAAGAAAGGCTTGAAGTAGGATAGGGGGAGCATGACCTTTCTCAACCCAATATCTCCTCAACCTCCCTCTCTAAAATGACCCACAAAATTCAAGTTCTAAGGGGCACCCAATCAAAACAAAGAAGGAGAAATAGCATGGGAAGCTAATTAGAAAATGAAAGGTTCTTTTGGCAAATGCATCTTGATCAATCTTCATTATCATGAGTTAATAATTAGTAAATAATATAAGTTTAGCCTTAACTCATGATAAATAGGCTTATATTTGTGTTAAAGTGGTTTTCAGTTGATTAACGTGAATTTTTGGCTAATTATGTGATTTTCTACGAATTTATATAATTTTTATAGTCTTATTTTTTAGATAAATGAAGAAAAATAAATAAAAATAAAAATATAGCAAAATAGGAGGACTCACCAGCCAGTCGGGCCCGCAAGCGGGTCGGAAGCGCAGTCAAGGGGAGCCATGAGCAGGGGCTTGAGCGGCTAGAACCGATGGGGACATATGTGCACCACTCCCCTTCCATGTCACTAGTGGCTAGTTAGCTGTGAGGCAAGGAGTGGTCGTACACGTGGGAGAAAAGGACTCATTATTTGCAAATCTGATATTACTATATATTCACCCAAAACTTTGGCCCACAAGCGATATGGGACTAAACCCACATCAGACCTTCCCCTGAAAGGCTTTGAAGATTTTAATACCTAAACTACCCCTTCATTATAATAAAGATATATCATGATGAGGTCACTTGATAAGGGCATTAGAGTACTTATTTCAATCTCCCTCATGCTGGTGGGCAACCAGTGCGAGTTCAAATTCTCCTAGAACCAAAACTTATATTTTTATCTAATTCTGATAGCTTAATCCTTCACCGGCGATCTACAGGAAGTCACAATAATCAGATAAAAATACGAGTTTTGGCTCTAGGAGGATTCAAACTCATGTTAGTTGCTCGCTTGCATAAGAGAGATTGAATATGGTGGTAACATTTTTATCATATCGCTAGTGAAGGATTAAGCCGTCAGAATCATTAGATCATCGGTGAAAATCTCGTCAACATGATTTGTAAAGTATTGTTACTAAAATTACTAAATGATTTACGATAAAAGGATTACGAATCCATCGAGTAAATCATCTCCAATTGATCAACGAATAAGCCGTTGTCAGGAAGAGGACGATCCGCCAGGAGAGGAGTTGCCACCTCTTGAGAGTGTACCGGATGCGATGAAGAGCTTCCTCTTGCTACGCAGACCTGAGGATGAAGCTCCCTGATATGCGCCCCACCTCTATCTAGCTCCTTTCCGTTGGGTGACAACTGCCAGAGAACCGCAAAGTCACCATTGTTCCGCTCCATCGGGTGACAGCCGCTGGAGATGATTCAACGACCTATTTCATTGATCTCTAGACTTCACAAGAAGATTTAGAGATTGTTCACGTCGTCCTTGTCTAAGGAGAGCCTTCAAGGCATAGACACTACACGATGATCCTTCTGAAAGTTCAAAATTTTAGTGCATCATTGACACTGGAACTTTATTTTTCTACTTTCAACTTAATTTTTATTTTATTTAGTGATAATTTGTGTGATTTAAATTTACTAAGCTATACTTCATTCAATTATGATTCTTTCGGATTTTATATATCTTAATTTGATCAATTAAATCGTCTATAATCACTTACGTAAGAATCACCGAGTGGAACTCTATTTTCACCTAATTCGCATTCGTCGAGCACTAACGTCATCCTAACATCCGTACCCTTATTTTCTTTTTTCACAAATTTTAAATATATTTTATTTTTATTTTTTAATATAAAATTCATAAAAAATATATTCTTTGAAAAAAATTAAAAAATTATCTGATATTATATTACATCCCTATGATCAACTTGGAAAATTATCACTATTTTTTAATGTTTTGTTAAATTATAATTGATATATTTTTTAAGAAATATTTCTAAATATCAGAAAAATTAGTATTTTCTAGTTTTATAAATTTTAAATTTGCATGATTTACTAAACAATGACTAAGTCATGTCACATCCCTATGTATAAAACCTATTGTCCTTTTTTTTATTATCATGTTGGAGATTGCTCTAGTAGAGGCTGGCTATAGGAAAAAGCTTTCCCAAGATCTAGATTGATGAATCTAAATAGAGGTGAATTATTGCAAAGTTTATTCTTGATCTTTGAAGTGTTTTCTTGTTGGAGAAAACCACCTGATTGGGGCAAAATATACAGACCCAAGGTATGCATTATAGATCATGAAATTCATAGTTTCATCCTCTAATATTAATAAAAATTAGTTCTCTCCATCATTGCTTCACATTCCATAGAAAATTGAAACCCTAGTTCAAATCATTCCCCTTGAAATCTTGGATTTCTTGATTTTCACAAGAAAATCAAGGCATCCTTGATCTTCCTACCTTTCACCATCTTTTCTTCTTTCAAATCATTCACCTAAGCCCAAAGCATCATCATCTAAAATATCTTTAGATTCTAAAATCAAAATCTTAAATTTCTTAGAATAACTAACAATCTTGAAAATCAAGACTCTCATTCTTCTTCTTTTTTTTTCGTCTCTAACTTATCTCTCTAATATTTTATCAGACCAAAGATGGTGCAGGACATGCATGGCAATGAGGAGTGTGTGAGTAATGTTAAGAAGATGTTGATACTTCCATATAACGATGTTATTTTGTTGAGAAGTGTAGGGGCAAGTAGTCTGATGAATGATGCCACAGTCCTTGTAGAAGCTCTGAAGGACATTTTGGACAAACTCTAGGGCGTTGTCTGTGTAGAGAAATTTGGAAGTAATATAGTACTATGTCATGATCTTTGTGATGTATTGGCTAATCGTGTTGTGAACTTCAGAATGGTATTTGAGAAGATATACTCATGTAACAC